TACTTTGAAGTCAAAGTGACCCACACGACAGTAAGCTTTTACTTCTACATGTGTGGTTTCTTTTGGGCAGCCAGCAAAAACATAGAGAATGTTTCTTTACGCAAAGGGAAATTAACTATTTCTGTTTATTACCTAGTGCCAGGATCAAGTTCCAAGTCCCTCACGTTCCAACGTAGAGCGAGCACAGTTTCAGTCCCTCTGCCAATACTCCATGAAACATGTAGCTAAAATCAAACACTACATATGGTTTAAAGCCTTGTAGTCAAGGTAGTATCTTCGCAGATGCTCGGAGAAATATTCTGATTCCGATTTTTGCATAGTCTTATGGCCTTTTTAACGAATCTGTATGTTGCGCAGAGGTAAAAAATGCGACAAAAAAAAATTTAAAAACAGTTTTTATGGCTCAGATCAGTATTTTTGGATTTTTGACGACAGAGGGGCGCTCCTGGGTGAAGTTAATGTTATCATCGTGTGCTGCCATCTATCAGACGACGGCACAACAAATTTTAGACTGATTGATAGGTTAGTTTGGATTTGGCCAGAGATAGATTTGGCAGCCATTCGAGTACACGTTTTTCGTGATTTTCGCTAAGATGGAAAAAGAGCAGTATCGTGCGGTAATTCGCTTTTTGGTTTTGGAAGGAAAAAAATGCGAGGAGATAAAAGCAAAGTTGGATGCTGTTTATGGGGGCACTTCGCCATCTATGAGCACAGTTAGGTATTGGTTCAATGAATTTAAACGAGGGCGAACTTCCGTTTTTGATGAGGATCTACCAGGACGCCCGGCAGACGTGGTTACCGAGGAAATCAATCAAAAAGTCCACGACATGTGGATCGCCGTATGAGTGTCGACCGGCAATCAGTATTTACATGATAAGTTAGTTGACTATGAAAAAATTGTCCGCCTGATGGGTGCCGCGATTAGGACGGGAGGGCGAAGTCAGGCGGGTCGATCTAGCAGACGCATCGCGAGGCGGCATCATGGAAGAGAGGTCTGAAGAGCAAGGCCCGTTCGCGCAACGGTAGAAGAGAGCTAGATTGCGACGGCTCGTGGGCGGGGAAGGATTCCTAGACTGTTCGTTAGAGAAATGTTATCGGTCAGCCACACAGCCGTTCTCTGAACCGCATCGAGCACGGATAATGTAGTAGGCACAGCAGCTGCAGATTTGTTCGTACCAGATCAAGTCCTCGGAGATCTGGACTCGTATCAGCCGAAATGAACAGCTTTTTGGTAGAACTATGCGATCCATTCAAACTGGGTGAGTGTTAGGACGCTTCTTTTTCGTCAAGGTTGCAGTACTGAATTTTGGAAGCATTAAACTGTAGACTGTTGCATCCCCAAACAGTGTTAACCTCCAGATCTCTGATCAGAGAGGAAGTCGCTACTAGTCTTCTTTTCTCTAGCTGATCGGCAGATGAATTCCTGCATGTAGAGTGCATCAGCAAAGCTGTGTTGGATTGATCGTACAGAAAAGGAGATCGTTGATATGTAAGAGGAACGATGTCGAAGCAAAGACCGACCAATGGGAAACACCCGCGTTGAGGTTGTGGGATGAAGAGGAGAACGAATATCTTGCGCCTAGAAAGGAGGTAACCAACTCATCTGCAAAGCTTCTCCGTGAGGCCGTAGGATGGAAGTTTGTATAAAAGAGCAGCATGCCAATAATTTCGTGGTATCAAGAGCAACGACACGAGCCTCACCATAATTCTGGATGAGCTTACTCCACAGTTGCGTGACATAAGCTAGAAGATCCCCAATTAAAAGACAAGGATTTATATTAGGAGCATTAACAATATTAAGATTCTCGTCTTTTCATATTGTTTTTCGAGGTCGAAAATGGAACATTTTACACTTTTTCAAATAATAAATCTCTCATAACTCAACTCAACACAGTCATATTTAGAGAGAAGTTCAGAATGACCTAAAAACAAGTTAGAAACAATTGACCAGAGCGAAAAAAATTTAGAATTCCTTAAGAAATTGTAATATGCATATGCAGTTCTGTCAGCGGGGGGTACTGTTTGAATAAAATGATGGAAGCATCTGTACCTGTCTTTTTTTTCACTAGCATATGCGAAGAAACCGTATCATACTAGGATCATATTAAGATCCTATCCAATACGTCATGTAGCAGTATAAATAGTACACTTATTTGGTAAGCGTTTCATCCCTATATACTGAGAATGGTTGGGAAATCTCGAAACTGGATATACTATAGACCAAAATATGTGAATTGACCTAAATATACCTTAGTCCAAAAGTTGATAGTTTGCGAGCTACAGAATGTCAAAGTTACAATTTAATTTTCTATTTTTCCTTATTGCTTGAGAATTATTTCAGATTTTGGCATAAAACTCGGTATTTTCTAGTATGAGAATATTTGTACCATGATGATAAAACATTTTTATAACATAATAATCAAGTTGCTTTGGATAATATCTTAGTAGCGTTGCTATGGCTTTTAACAATAACAAATGAGGATGGCAACAAAACTAATACACGGAAGTAATAACTACAAAAAAGGTTCAAAATGAGCACCACCTTGTCTAATACACGCTAGGCGAACTAATCCTTGCTGCACTCTCCAAAGCGTTTGCATGTAATTTTTTATTTCCTGGCTATGATGGAAATTTTTTTGTAAGATCATCTACAGTTTCCACTGGCGCATTGTAAACGTGTCGCTTTAAATCACCCCAGAAGAAATCCATAGGGCTGATCTAGCCGGACACGATACAAGTCCTGATCGGCCTATCCACTGGTCTGGATAAACTCTATTTAAGTGCTCCCTAACTAATATACTAAAATGAGGAGGTGCTCCGTCGTGCATAACCCACATATTCATGCGTGTTTGTAATGGAAGATCTTCCAGCAGAGTGGGTAATTGTTCTTCAAGAAATTGTAAATACCTTTGTCCATGTAACCTAGGTGGTAACTCAACGGGTCCTATTAAATATTGTCCAATTATTATTCCAGCCCATAAATTAATTTGAAATTGTACTTGGTGGCGGATTTGTATTATTACATGAAGATTTTAGTTTGCATATATTTGAAGATAATGCGAGCTAACGGGCGCATCCCATCCAAATCCTGCTTCGTCCGAAAATAACATTAACGAAGTAAAACCTTGCGGGTTCATCGACCGCGCTTAAACCATGTACTTTTTGCAGGTGGTCTGAATGGAGCAGCATCTAAAACATTTTCTTCAACTTCTGCTGAACGTACAGTTCTGCGAGCTCCACTATGTCGGCCCATATTTTGAGCACAACTACCTAAAATCCAAATGGTTTTTACTACTCAAAATAAGGCTCTAGTCATTTCTTACCAGTTTCTCATAACCGCTGATCGATGATTCTATGGAAAGTCTTTGAATTAGGCAGGTGTCTATTAGGGAATCTGTCAGCGTACCATCTTCGTGCTTTTAAAGCATTACATCTTGATAATCCAAATGCATATCAAAATATTCATCAAACGTATACTCCATGATGTTTAACAACTTATTGTCAACTTATGGTACAAATAATGCATTGGAACTTTTAAAAACAAATGTCTCAAAAACTATTAGCTTTAGACACATCTAACAAGTAACCCCTTTTTTGTTGTGGAAATACGAGAAAATAAGATTTTTCGGTTAATTATTGCAAGCAAAGTAGCACACAAAAGTTATTTACCGAAATAGTGAACTCTAGAAGTTTGGCGTTAAAAAATAACGGATTCTTGTTTCTCAAACCTCCCTATACCGAGTTTTATGCCAAAATCTGAAATACTTCTCAAGCAATAAGGAAAAATAGAATATAAAATTGTAACTTTGATACCCTGTATCTCGCAAACTATCAACTTCAGGACAAAGGTATGTTTAGGTCAATTCACATATTTTGGTCTGTAGTATCTCCAGTTTCGAGATTACCCAACCTTTCGCAGACATAAGGTGACTCGGAAAAACGGGGGTAATATTTTCAGGATGGAGAGTACATCGAAAAATAAATAAATAGTTAATATAAATATATAAATAGTGATCTAAGATGTCTTCTACCAAGATACAGGGTATTCTACTCCAATGACGAGGCTAAATAAGAACAAAACGCTACGGTGATCTAGGATCACTCTCCAAATACACTACATTCAATTTCATGTCATGTCAAACTTCATTAGTTTCAGAACATATTATAAACTAGAATCAGCTGAAGTTTTTCACTTCAAGTATTCAAGCCAATTTTTCTCCCAAAAGGTAGTGTATGACAAAAATGTATCTAGATAGCCAATTCGTGAAAATTAAATGTCTTATCAAAAAATGCGATAGATGTAAATACAGTGTCGTTTTCAGAGTATATATAAAAATCAGCCATCAGAATATAAGTTCAGCTTTATCCTTACTTTTACTGATCTTTTATAGTACCTTCTCGTCTTAGCAGGTATGGAGGCCTTGAAAGTACATATAGTACATTAAAAAGTTAATCAATGCCCCATTTTTTGTATTTCAGAAAGTAAGTAATGTTTGGTCATGGCTCAAAATTAACTTCCGAGGCGGAGATTCGAACCCGTGAGCCTTCGAGTCGTCGGATTAGCAGCTCGACCAGCTAGCCCACACGGTTATCTAGCCCCCCCCCCCCACTATATAGTTGCGCCAATGAGATTGCTTTCTTATCTACTCTTATTTGATATTTGAAACTGTTTGTCAATAGCATCCTTGTGACTGAACGACCTACTCTTGTTTACAATGTGAAATAATTGAGTATCTTCGAAGTTTAGACTGTGTTTCACTCTGTTGCTGTTGCTATTGAGTAGAGTATAAATAAATAAACTTGATCGTCGTTTCTATTCACTTGTCACTGCATACCCAGGCACTTTCGTCCCTCTGGCCAATAGGAGTCCGCAAATTTGAATGTCGCACACTAGTGTTTACTTTGAAGGGGAGTATATGAATAAATCCATAAATCAGGATACACCTACATGTTTTGACCGAATGTATAGGGAAAACAAGTAAGGAACCTTGGATGGCTAAAATTCTACCAGTGTAACTTACACCAAAATGCAGTTGCGATGGCCAGAGCAATCGTAGTCGGATTTTCGAATATGTAGCACATTTTGGAAAGACCGCAAGAAGCTCTTAATGGTTCGAAGGTACATCCTTCTTGGTGACATTTCGGGCACATGATTTGGTCACTATTGCATATCTCATGGCTGAAAATAATGTGATTATTTTTAACATTTGGTTACTCTAGAGGTCAATGCATGGTCGCGTCGTTTCTAGAAACAATGACTTAAAACATTTGGAAATTTTGAAAATTTCAGAAAATTTGGAAATATCGGAAATTCTGGGAATTACCTTCTTAAAGATACTTGTCAACTCTCTTGAAAAAAACAACGATGCATTGCGCCCTAGCTATGATCTGAAAAGTCATACCTTCGATAGTTAAAATATTTGTAGTTACATGTCGAAAGTCCAAAGGTAAAACAGATTAGCCCCAATGCTGCTGCTGGGATGAGCATTTTTATGTAGAAGCCTAACCAAGCAAAGTAGAACGCATATTCTGTACCAAAATAACGTTCTATCGTGTGATGTGGTTGACATTTGTACCAGCATTTGGTACTGCCCCAATATCGGGCTAGAAGCTGAAACCAAGAAGAATTGTAGGAACGCTCTGAACTTTGTATCAAAGGTCAAAATCAAAAATTGGGGCTCTTGTATGGCGTGTGCGACTATAAATTACCTCCCTCCCCCTTCCCTGTTTGGTATACAATGAAGACATTGCCTGGCAAGCTTTCTAATATGTGAACCGCACTTTACCATGTGCTAGTTTTACAATTTATTTACTTGGGATTCACATATGAAACTTTGTTATAGTTTAAAGTTAGCTCTGTCATTAAGAATCATTGTATTCTTCTGTCAAATTATATCTACTATCTCTCATATTTAAGTAATTGACTGAGTAACAATCTGTCTACTTCGTTTTACCTGCCTGTCATTCAGTCGTCCAGTTTCCGTCCATTTGTGTTCGCCATCATGAACTGGGAAAGCATCAATGAATACTTTTTCCTGTTTCAATTTATAGATACCATACTCACTCGGCCTTTGTCCAAACTTTGTACGATTCATCAGTTCTACCATAATCAGTATTTTTTCTGCGGATGTTATACCAGTTGGTCTATCCATTGAAACAGATTCGCTAGAATATCAAAAAATGGCGTCATTTACACAGAGGGCCATAACAAATTTGCTTTTGAAAACATTGTAGCAGCATGTTATATTGGCGTAGTAGTAGCTCAGGGTTGCTTAGGGTCAAAATTATTAGAATCGGTTTTATGTAAAAAAACTAAAAAACGCCGAAAAAAACCGACGAAATGTCATCTTGCAGACTAGGTAGTTTTTAGTGTGCAAGCAACACGTTCAGCTACAAAATGAGTTGACAACAAGTGTACGTACAACAGCTACGTTAGCATCTTGTAAAAAAACCTACGAAATGTCAACAAAACCAACGAAATGTCATTTTTTAAGATACGTAGTACCCGTACCGCACGGGTATTACATGTCTTGAAAAGTGACATTACATCGATTTTTTGTTGACATTATATTGGTTTTCTTGTGACATTATGTACTTAGGTTTTTCAACAAGCACTACCTGATGGACATTTGTTATGAACTAGTTTTGTAGTTGTACGTGTTGCATAAACGTCATGATGCTTCAGTTATCAATCTTTTACTCTGATGTGATGTAAAATCTGCTTCAAAGATGGCATTATTGGAGGTCTAAGCTGTAAGTTGTATACTATAGCGAGAACGAAACGGCAGTGCATAGGTGCATAGTGAGGATTTGTGTGCTAATACTATATGTTGATGATAATTCCATTGGTTTCTTGTCTCAACTACCCTTAGAGAACATTTAGCACCATCACAATTTAAGAGGTTGATGCTGTGACTAGAGCAGGGCATGTAAAACGTCTTTGGATTTATTTCCAAGATCCGTGCCTGTACTCTAGATTGGATACCTTTCATGTTGAATCCGTTATCATATCCTTGTCCTCTACAGTCCTTGATTTCTAATCCAATTTCATCTTGTAGAAGGACATCAGCTAGATATTTTTCTGTTGTTAACTTAATGTCTAAAAAACCAAGGAAATGTTCTTCGATGCTTACACCTTCATTTTCATTTTGGAGAGATCAATTTTCACATATCGTAACACTAAGGATAACTTCTCCTTGTGGCTAAGTCAGGTGTGCAGTGTAACATTACTGAGAAATACTTAGCTGCTTTTAACTCCGTAACATTCTTGGATTTTACCTTTTCAGATAGCAGCTGATTTAATTCGTTTTGAACGATCGTCCCTAAATAGTGATCATGAATTTCAGACGATTTAATTCACCTAACATGCTCTTGAATGACAGGATGGAATGTAGCCAACCAACATTTTAATCATTCCCAAAAATAGCCGTTGTTTCGCTTGTATGGTTTGCTATTTGATCCTAACTGAGACCCAGTATTGTCACCAAATAATTTACAACAAAAACAAAACGCCTTGTCACTAGTTTTGCTATACATAAGCCATTACTAATGCACCTCTTCTCCGTCGCTCATGACTCTTTTGTAATACCTAGCAGAAAAATGTTTTTTTTTCTGAATTCTTAGGAAAACTAAAATTAGTTACTTGCAAAGGGCCCTTTTGTATGATTTTATCAAACTTAGAAAACGAGCCCTTTAGCTTCAGTAGACATTGAAAAGTTTTGAGGATCAGGTGTTGAAGGATTATCAGATTCGTTCGTGGGTTTTGTAATTAATCAATAATTCATCATATTGCGAGGGTAATCAGACAGATATTTTAGGCACGTATATCTGTACATTATTATATTATTTGCATTCTACCAAAACGTTTTACTTTTGTTAGCGCCAGGCCTGGATCGGCCGCTCCACTCGCTCCACCCTAAAGACGGCCCTGCTTGTGGACATTGAGGGTATTTCTTCTAGTTTTCTAGTGTGGTATGCGACATTATCAAGTATAATGACGTCAAGCTTTGGGAGCGTTTCTTCAAACCAACATTCAAATTTTCACATGTCACTGCCGATGTGACATATAACAAATCATTTTCCTTTTCCTGGAAATAATTATTTCATATAATATTCAAGACTAATAATAGTACAAGCAGATTATGTAACAGATGTTGGTTCCAAATCCACCAGATATAGCTAAACTTAGTGTTTTAATGTTTTCAGCGTGGGCTCATAGATTCAGTCGACTTGGCACCATTTTTACAACACAAATGACGAATTTGTACATGTCGGATTCTTTAGGCCAGTGGTTGGTCCATCTAGAAGGCTCGTCTTGCTGATTTAACTGTAGAGTCAGCCCATACTTTAGGTTTTGTATGTCCTCCATTTATCCAGGTTTCATCCAAGTAATAAATCTTCCTACCCTGGTCGCGGTATTTCTTTATATTTATATATATTCTATATTGATTTTAATTAATTTCTTCTCCATAAAATAATATCTTGGCTATCCATCAAAATACTATTTCTGCCCCGTTTTCTATACTCAAAATGAAGTTATTTGAGTAAACTACAGAATGTGGTCATAGGTAAGTCTTCATCACTATTAACCTCTGTAAAACTTTGCCTATGGGAGAAGTTCATGCCTTTCAAAAAAATATTGCATCTGATGGCATTCCGATCAAAGTTATCAATTATATCCAGCAGCTCCGTGTAATGCTTGCCTCTTGTCTGGTGGAGACAATTTTTTGTTTTTGTTTATATTCTTTAACAATGTTGAAAATTGTCTTAGGACATAAGCCTGTTTTGTTCACCACACGTCTTTCAATATCATGAATGTTCATTTCAGGATGCTCTAAAATTTCGTTCTTATAAACGTTAAGGACAATTTATTTTGTCTGAATATTCAAATGTCCCTTCTTGTCACGTTTTCTGGGAGGAGACATCACTGAATAGGAAGCATGGCTGAAGGAAGCATTGGGAGAATATTCTCAGTTTCATCTGCTGTATCCGTAGACAACACGCTAACTATGCACTGAATATGAACAGCAACTGCCAGCGCCAGCGTGCCGGCGATACCCCGAGCCTGAATTCTATCCTGTCGAATCCTGCACTTATTGTTTTATGACCTACAGCTATTGCATCGCTTAGGCGGCTGCCGCTTTGCCGCGCTGCATCTTTGTTGTACCGCGGCGTAAATGGACTACGAATAGGGTACAGTAGTAGTCTCTGTGCCTGTGTGTATTTGTTTTCATTATTTACCTAGGAAGACTTCTCAATAAAGCATTAGGTCGATAATGGTGACTTCTCGGTTTAGTAGTGGAAAAAAGTGTCTTACGGTGCTCTTTTGTAGACTTCATTATCGGTCTTCGGACGGGTCAAAGGCGTAGCCAGAAAACCTTTAGGAGTATCATAATCAGGTCTATAATCATCGTTTCGACACGCAAGGTCAATATCACATACGTCAGCGTAATTAAAAACAACGTCATTGGATGCATGCAGCTTCACAAACACCAAGTCTGCATCTGCCTGTAAATCACATACGGGGGGTGTAAGTAGCATACGTTACCTTGCACTCTGCTTTGAGCGCAGTCTGAAGAAAGTGATCCTTACTACCTGCATCAAAAGTTCATAGGGGCTTGAAACGTCAAGAGCATTATTGTTAACTTTAAAGAGTCAGCAGTGTCAAAGGATACCAGAGGTGCTTTCCAGTGCTTTTCAATTGAGAGTTGGTTGCACCCGGAGTATGACGCTCCCGAACTAGCCTAGCAAATGCGCATGGGAACGCGACGTTTGTTGATGCTTTGCTTTGACGTTGACAATTTGTATCACACTTCCAAACAATGAAAATGAAACACATCTTACCTTTATTTTTAGGAGCATTGTCAGACTATGCTATTGATGCCTGATGATGCTTTTAGAATGATGGCTCAGCGGTCTGCATTTTTATTGTAAAGCTTCTCGATAAATATGTCGAATTCATGTTTTAGTGTAGATATTCATAATTATTTTCAAAGTGTCGGTCTGTTAGTCTGTCAGGCCTGGCTACCCAGATACCAAACATATTTAAGGGGAAAGGGAAAGAAGGAAAGAAGGGAAGGAAGAAATAGAGCAAAGAAAAGAAGTAAATCATTTGAAATAGCTTAAGCATTATTGCTTTGACTACTCGAATTATTTTGTAACTCCAAAAAATAATTTTGATCGGTTTTGTATACAGAAATAATTTTGGCTGGTCTGAATTTACAATTTAATTGTGATCACAATGCGAGGCGGGGCCTCGAATGTTTGCAAACTTGCTCGACTGTGTAGTCTACTGAATCACGCAACTGAGCGGCTGTTGTTTTACGTAATCCCTTAGATATGGGATATCAAGATCTCTGTGAATGGTCTCATTTGACACGTACCAAGGGGCGTTAGTAATTATACGTAGGGTTCTGTTTTGCAGGACTTGCAGTCTCTGCATGTGCGACTTGGCAAGAAAACACCAAGCCGCACATGCGTAGGTGATTGCGGGTCTTATGACCATTTTATACAACCAAATCTTGTTGATCAAACTTAATTTTGAATGTCTGCACAACAAAGGATAAAGCTGCCCGGTAATTTGGAATTTTGTTTTCAAAACATCAGTATGTTTCTCCTTATCAATGATGACTCCAAGATACCTGACAGATTGCTCCCATGGTATACGAGTTCCATTCACTGATATCTCTGAGGGGGCACCGCGACGTTTTTTAGTACAATAGATTGCCTGCGTTTTCGAAGTAATAATTTGATCAACCACCGATCCGCCCACTCCAATACTTCCTCCACCGCACTCTGCAGCCTGTCGTGAACCAGGTTACCAGAACAAGACTGGGCTAGCAATGCAGTGTCATCAGCATAGAGATAGACTTCACAGGTGCTGGGGCAAGGGACGCCATGTATATAAAGTGAATAAAGGATTGGTCCTAAGACCGAACCCTGAGGAACACTAGATCTTACGGGTCATGTTGTTGACAACACATTGCTAATTTTGATCCGAAACTTCGTTCCTTTTAGAAAAGACTTCAACAGTTTTAGTAGCCAAAATGGAAAACCCTTTTGGATGAGCTTATACAAGAGGCCCATGTGCCACACCTTGTCAAATGCCTTTGATACATCTAAAAGCAAGATACCAGTACTTTTGTTCAGGGTGAACCCCCTGGTTACATGCTCCACCAGTCTAACTGCCTGTAGCTCCGTACTATGCTCAGACAGAAAGCCGAATTGTACGTCAGGAATCACATAGTGATCTGACGAGAAATTCAAAAGGAGACGATAAATCACCTTTTTAGCGAGCTTAGAAGGAGATGAAAGCAGACTAATGAGACGGTAATCCTGGAGGAATATCGAACCTGCCTTTTTCACTTCAGCGACCTTCCACGCCTTAGGAAAGTAATGAATTCTGATCATTGCATTGATTATTGCCACCAGATAAGTCAAAGCCTTGAGCGAAAGCAACTTCAGTGCTTTGTCGGTGGTTTGATCCTCTCCAGGTGCTTTACGCACCTTTAGGTCCTTAATGTGACCTTGGAGCTCTGCTGGTTTGCAAAACGGAATCTCAGAGGATTCCGTTAATGTGTTATGCTGAGATTCATCTGAAGAGTCTTCCGTAGAAGAATCTTCTGAAAAGGAGTCACCGATGTTAGCATCGATGTTGGTATCGCCATTCGCTCTGAAGTATCTTCTGACAGATCTTACAATTTGTCGTTCCTCGTCAAGGTCATTGTCCAGATCGTAATTGGGTGAGAACTGCTTTTCCATGACGTCAGCTAAAACCTCCACTTTATCCTCAGTCGTGAAAACTATGCCTCCAGGACCATGAATATGTGGTAGTTGTTCTTGCCTTCCGTTTCTGAGCGATTTTGCCACTTTCCAGATAGGAATACTTGATTCAAGCATCCCCGCCAGAAAGCCGCTCCACTGCTCATCAACAAAATTTTCTGTCAGCTACACTGGCATGTCACATACGATTGAATAAAGGTAACTAAAAATAAAAAAAGTAACGCACTATTTTAAACAAAAACATGTCCAAATAAAAATTGCGTGTTCAATGAGAAGCCTGACACCCCGACTCACTGACAGTTTTTTTTAATATTTGCAGTATAATATTCCAACAAATCTTCATCGGTAAGTTGATTACGGTATTTGTGTTTAATAAACTTAATATTTGAAAAGAAGATTCACACAAATATGTTGAACTAAATAACGCTTTCACTTTCAGGACAACACGACATAAAACTGAATATTTATCGTTACTTAATGCCAGATAGATTTTATATTTGAGACTAATGATATTAAAGCTAAATCATTTTGAAACGTAATCTTCCATTTCTGTCGCAGCGATGTCTTCGCTAAAATTATGCGCAACAGAAGTTTCAAACTGTTGGATATCAATTTCCATGAAGAGTGAAACAACAAATTGCGCCACTATAGCAATTTCGTTGAAATCGTTGAAACGATTTATGAAGTTATCCTTAAAGCTAGAAACTATTTCTTCGTAATATTTACTGTCACATGGTTCTAATGGACTTTGAGATATCTTTTCTGAAAGAACAGGAAAAGTTCCCTTTTTGATAAACGCTTTTATATCTATATATTTTTGCTATTTCTTTGTCTCTTCCCTGAAGCTGCAAATTAAGTTCATTCAATTTTTCTGTAATATCCACAAGAAAACCAAAACATCTAAGACAGATTGAATTTTATAGTTCCGGAATCGGTTCATCACGTTGTTTGAAAAATTGAACTATGGCAGATATGATATCATTAACCCGTTCCAGTACTCGTCCCCTACTTAACCATCGGACTTCAGAGTGAAGAAGTAGTTCCCCGTATTGACAGTCAGTGAATAATCTTTGTAACGCTTGAGCTCTAATCTTGTTCACAATTCTTACTACCAATTTCATAACGTTGTTTAGTTTTAGAAAAGGTCCACATAATGATGGTTGATGGATAATGCAGTGGTAACAGAGAAATTGCGGAAAATTTTCATTTTTAAGACATAACCCCAGGACACCCTTATCACGACCCACCATAGCTGGAGCGCCATCGATTGTCAAGCCTACCATTTTCGATATTCGAATTTTCTCAGAAGAAATAATGTTTTTAAAAGAAGAAAACAAGCCGTGTCCAGTAGTCTGTCCTTTTAGTGGAATAAACTTCAAAAGATCTTCTTTAATCACTAAAAACCATCCTGACGAACATCTAAGAGGTGTCAATGATATCTGTGGATTCATCCAGCTGCAGTGAAAAATAAGCACAGTTATCGAACTTCTTAACTGTAAACTATATCATTGCTCATTACTTGTACTCGTCTCATCACTGTATTAGCAGAAAGTTGCATAGATTTCATAGCAGACACTACCTCGTCTTTATTTCTAAAGTTGGCAGATAATGAATCTGCAGCTTCTAAAAACGCCTGTTTTATCATTTCCCCGTCTTCATAAGGTTTCCTTTTTTGTGTAATTATTGGGACACCGGTATGATGCTTCAGTTGCAGCCTTACTTTTGTCGATTGTTTTTGAAAACATTGTCGGTTGTCCAGTTAACTGATTTTTTATTGTTTCAGTTTTTTCTGTTCTGGTTGCAGAACGTAATGGGAATGATTTTTTAAAATTAGAATGTACAGTTTTATAGTGCCTCCCGATAATCCCTTTTTTAGCAATGGAAACAGATGATTACATAACAAACATCCATATTTACCTTTAATAATGTTTTAAATTGTAGGCCAACTAACCCAACCGCTGGATTTTGTGCCGTTTAGTTTTAAACTGAGGCACTGTCGTCGCAACTTGCGTATTTATTCCGTTCAAGGTAATCGACATCGTTCTCGAACAGATCGCTCACCGCAGTGTTGCCGCTGCTTGTGTTATTATAAGAATTTACAAAATTTACGGAAGCTTTTATGATTTTTACTGCCTTTTAAAATATCTTGTGAGCCACCAGAATTGCCTTTGCGAGCTACCGATAGCTCGCGATCGACGGGTTTGCGACCACAGCTCTATAGCACTTTTACGGTATTGACAGGTGGTAGGTAGCTCCGAGTTCCTCCAAGTAACACAAACGAGGAACTGGAAAGCACCTCAGGCAACTATTGGTTCCAAAAACAAAACGTCAATATTTTGTAGCAGTCTATGGACAGCTTAAATAAACTTTGTTAACCCCATTTTTGAACTGTCTAAAGTTAGTAGAACTGAGGAAATTCTCCTCAGGTAGACGTTCCACAATCTCGATACCCTAGGGACAGAGAAGTGGTCGAATCGACCAGTTCTGGATGTACGAAGTTCGACACGGTTAGGATGGGGGGCCGAAGTCAGGCGGATCTGTCTGGCAGGCATATTGTGTGGCGGCATCATGTAGGAGGGCTCTGAGAAGCAAAGCCCGTCAATATAACGGTAGACGAGGGATAGATCGGAAGGGTTCCGAGACTGTCCGTTACAGAAGAGTCATCGATCAGACGAACAGCATCACGCATGGATGATGTAGTCGAGGCGGCAGCACCCCAAACATGTGAGTAGTACGTTAGTAGTATGTCAACGACGCTTTGCTCTTCAAACTTCTCCTGCATGATGCCGCCAACCTGCCAGGCAGACCCGCCCGATTTCGGCCTCCTATCCCAACTGTGTCAAACTTCGTACACCAAAAACTAGCCAGTACGACCGCTCCTTTGTGGAACAATCTGTCCGAGGAAGCTTTTTCCAGCTCTACTAACCTTAGATAGTTCAAAAATCGAATTAACAATGTACAGGAATTGTAAATTTTCGCTGATTGGAGCGCCATTTCTGTGTCAGGCCGAAAACTAACGTGGAATTCTACCGAAAATCGTTCTGCGTCAATAATAATCCCCGCAAGTGAAAGTCGCCAAATAAAATATTCAAGCTTTTCTTGTTTAAACGTTGGTCATAAACTTTTCCTGTAGACTAAAACGAAATCCGTTGTCTTTCCCTCATGTTTGTCCGAAAATTCGATCATTGTATCATCTTCACTTCTTTGACCCTGATTCAACTTTGATGGTGACATTGTCATCTACTGTTAATTTGATAGTTCATCAATAAGATGTAGGAGAGGTGTTGTAATAATTGAGCTACGGACTTTGGTCTTTCAAGTAAGTCCTTAAGAGTCCATTAGTCAACAGTTAATAGATATTTCAACTATAGAAAATGTCTAGTGATCCATTCTACCTTTTACCTATGTAAGGCAGTGCAAAGTACAAAAATCGAAGTCTGAACAAATTGAGTTCCAAATTCTGGATTCATTAAGTCAATAGTATTATTATGGCAGGATAAAAGTGAATGAATATTGCTAAGCTACATGACTTTACGAGTATAGAGAATCGGGCGATTAAAGGTTTGCTTGTTTATTTAAGATTTATTTAGCATGATTGCTACAATAACATTCTTTTAAAAAACTAAACAATTACATAACATACAGACATTTATCAAAAACAAAATTTGCATCTGTAATTGTTTTCACTGTCCACGAAATATCATTATTTAGTTTATTAAATTCAAGTACTCCTTACTGGAGTATTGATTTGCTAGTTATATGTATTATCTTGCAATTTTGTAAATGAAAATTTTTATTTCCTCTTGTATAATAATTATGGTAATGACTATTCAATTCCATGAAATGTTGTGGCAAAAGATTTTCTTATTTTATATTTTAAATATAAAAATAGAACCAATATGATAAGCCAATTCTTGTAACATGATTTTATTTTTGTTCAATATTATTCTGATAGCCTTATTTTGCACGTGTATTTTGGAATACAGCTTTATTGGCAGTGAACAAGATAGTTGAACAATAATTTAGTAAATGCGGTAGAATAATATTGTATTATAAACTATTTTTGGAAAATGTACCAAGACTATGAGAAGCGCCCTTATAAAGTAATTTGGTTTTTTGTGTTAATTTTTGACATAATGTCAAACTTTAGTTTACTATCAATATCTATATATATACCTAAATATTTAACTGATTCAGATTTTTAATCATTTCACCATTTATCCTAGCTGTGACTGTATTTTCATTTAGGTATTTTCCTATAAGCTACATTTTGTTTTAGAAGTATTCAATTCTAATTTATTTACATTTAAAGCAATTTATGATTTTTTCCAAGTCAGAATTTAGCATTTTAAGCTGTGTCTATAT